TGCTCCCTCTATACATATCTCTGTGTCTATCTCTATCCCTTTCGCAGTGTTTACTTTGTTTCTTGAAATCCTTTAAGCGCCATTTAGTTTCAACGAGCGCTTAACTTAATGAACACAATGGCCGGAAACTGTTTTCAAAAGAGAGAGAGAGAGAGAGAGAGAGAATGTTGCACACAAAATCTAATGGAGTAAATGGTTTTGGGTTGCCGTTCTTCTCTTTTTTTCTATAGATATGTACCCAATGTCCCACCCCATTGGAGCACATAATCACGTTTTAATAGTCTTCTCCCACCTCGCAAATATGCGAAGAAAAGGGACATGGGGACACAGATCAGGAGCAACAACAAATAGGAGCAACAAAAGGGAAGGGAAGTAAAGTAAAGAGAAGTAACAACTAAAAATCCCATTAATGAAATGATGATGACATTGCCAAAAACTTTTGTTCATGTATACCCATTAAATACATAAAACAAAAAGTTGCCCAAAAGTCGAGAGAGACAGAAGACCCAAAACAAAGAGGAAGCACAAGATGAAGAAGTCAACGAAGATGTGTGGGTGGATGTAAGAAGGAGCAGAAAAAATCATAGAACGAGAGAAAGAAAGTGAGAGAGACAGAGCCAGAGCAAGTCTCAGCTGTGGGAAAAACGATGAGAGGCAGAAATAAAACATAAAACAAAATGCCCAAAAAATTAACGACAAATTGCGCATCATTAAAGGTAAAGAGGGGGAGCAGGTGGGGGAGGCTGGTAGCACCCCTGAGAAACAAGAGAGGGACATGGGCAGGGGCAGTGAGTCGGGTGAAAGAGCCTGCCGAAAGCCAATAATGAAGGCACCAACGGCACGTAAAGAGCAAAATGAAGCGGAAAGACAGGCAATGAAAAGAGCTTTAAAGGCAAGAAGATGGCTCTACCGCGAAGGGAGGGGTAGTGACGAAAAGGGAACAAGAGCAGGGGGTTCAGGGGTTGAGTTTGAGGCGGCCTGTTATCGTGGCCTGTGTATATGTTCGGGGCACATGCCTGTGGCAAACACCTGGGTGCAGTCATTTGTTTGATTACAAGCCACGAGAACGACGACAATGAACCGAAATTTGAAGATGGCAAAGCCACAGCGAGAGAGAGAGACAGGAACAGACAGATGGGAGCTAACAAGCGAGAGCGAGAGAGGTACAGACAGCGGAAAGCTAACAGAAAAGAGAGCAGGTGGGAGTTGCAGCAAAAACCGAAACCGAACATGAATAGACCTGTCACAACCTCCCCCCGCAGATCTACCCACCCTCCCTACCAGCACACAAAACCCCCAAAAGAGAAATATTTGCAGCCATTCATTTTGTTAATTTAACACAACTTCATCTTATAATAATGGTTTTTGGCTGGCTCCCGAGTTTTAAGCCAGAGCCAGAGTTGTGCCACTCTGTAATTGCCAGGACTAGACAGGACGAACAGACACACATCACATCCTAACAATTCTTCCTCTGCTCTATTTTCTCCTCTGCTGCCACTATAATGACTCACTCGCCCTGTGGCTTTACTGTCTCGGGTTTCACTGCTCTTTTTTTTCTTCCTGCTTTTTTCCTGGAAGGTGACAAGGCGCCATCGTCAGAGAGAAGCGTGTCCCGTGTCCTGTCGAGCATGTAACATGTTGTCCGTGTTTGTGTTGTTTTTTTATTGTTGTTTGTGTGAAGGCAGGGCTCTAATTTTAATTGGTTTTCAAAAGACAGGCGAGCAAACAAAATAAATTATGTTTATTATGGCAACAACAACAATAGAAATCTAATTTTGGGCAGGATTTTGTTCATTTACATAACTTTAACTTTAAATTAAAAATAATAAAGTTAAAATAATAATGGAACTGCTTTTGATTTAATTTTTGTGTGGAATTAATTATTTATGGAGAGAGAAAAAGATACGGTCCTACTTTTCCTTTCTTTTTTCTTAATTTGTATTTTATCCACCTCTCACTTGTTCCATTAATGTAAATTTATTTATCTTTCAGTCTCTCGTACGGCCTCTCTGCTCTTCGCCGTTGGCAGACACGATCAATCTTGTTTCCGCTCAGAGCCGCTCTTAACTAACGGTAATATTTAGGGGGCACCCACCATACAGCCAACATGAATTATTGCATATTCCCCAAGAGTTATGAATGTTAAGTAAATACCAGCAATACTTTTCCCTGCGGTTTATGTCATCTTTAAGCAAAGGATTTTCATTTTAATACATTTTGCAGTGCCACAAGTTTGTTCTTTGGCCATTTTAATCAGCATTTTTTCACTTGGCCGCAAACAAATTTTTTTTTATTTGCCCTGTCCTGGAAACTGACCGCCGCACTGGGAGCTATTTACCCACCCCACCCCCTCTACCAGCACACTGGACGACGGGTACCACACTTTGTTATGTTCTGTTTGCCTTTGCCTTGCTCTTCGTTTCGTTTCACTCTCTCGGCTCTTTTGTTTGCATTTCTTGTGATTTGTGGTAACCTTTTGAGGGGGTACTATTATTAAGACAAGAGTTTTGCCAAACGGCAAATAAATCAGTTTTCATTTAAACTTTAAATAAATGTAACCTTTAATGCATATTTTTTATCCTGCATCTAGTATATTATAGTGTTTTAATTTTCAACAGGTTTACCGCTCTTTTCATAGATTTTCACATATGGAAAGGGTATCTAAACTTCACCAAACTGCTCTCCTCTTCTCCATTCTCTGCTTTTTTATATTTTTTGCAGCGGCCAAAGCTGTGGCTCAGTTTTTAATCAAAACATAATGTAAATGGAATGCAAAATACACAAGTAGGCGGTGGAGGAGCAGAGAGAGAGAGTGGCAGCCACTAACCCAACAATGCCCACTGCACTCCTACTCCAACTCCTACTACTCCCCTCTCTGACAAACCCAACGTTCAGCATCTGCTCTTGCTCACTCCCTCTCTCACTCTTTCTCTCACTCTCTGTCCTTCTTCCACCTCATCCTTTATTTGGTTTGTTCTAAAAAGTGTTTGCTTTTCTGTTGCTTTTTGTTGTCGTCCATTATTCAAAAGCATAATGTCACAATAAACGTAAAAGGTGCAAAATAGTGGCCAGAGGCAACAGGCAAAAGCGAGTACCACTAACAATAAGAGAACGAGAGAGACATGGAGAGCATGAGAAATGGCCACCACATCACAAGAGCAACAGTAATTGCAAGGTATATTCAGCAAAAGTTATGGGGAGTCACTGAAGGAGGACCGAAAACTATTCAAGCTTCAGTTCCCGACTTGGTTCTATGATCCAAAGAGTGCAAGATATAAAGTTGCAAACCAAAAAACCTAGACAATGCCTGTGTTACCTTCTATTTAACATACTTTGGAAAAAGAAAAAAGAAGAGAACAGTTTTGGTACAACAACAGCAACTCAACTTAAAACACTCTCCCAAAGTCGGGCTCTCGCATTCGGACTGCATCAATTTTAACCGAGAATACAAAAAACGGAGCGAGAAAGTACTCATCTCACCTCTGTCCACTCCCTCTGGCCATTCTGTGTCGTCGTTGTTGCGTGCCCGTCACTTAGTCAGTCGAGCGTCCGTCCACGTGCCAGGGATAAAAACGCAGACGCAAATGACCCCGCTGGCAGTGCTCATCTCTTCCAAGGCGCGAGGGGGGAGGAGCAGGACATGTGCGGCGATATATAACGGAATTTCAAGCGCATTTCATCTGTTCTCTCGCTTGGCAGGCGCCGAAGAATTGCTCAACAAAGGTGCATTTACATTAGGTGGTGGGGGGAGATTTGCCGTTCCACCGAGTTGGTTTCTTTCTTTTTCCCTTCTTTTTTTTGTCACGTGGTACACAAACGTAAGAGGAAACTTTCGTAAGAGTGCACTCTGGCAAATGCCTTACCCTCCATTAACTACATCTTGTTCTCAACTACGCAATAATCCAGCCCATTGACCTTTCTTCACATTACCCCGCGCTTCCACTCACTGCCATCGTTTACCTGATTTGCCTTTTGACAGCCAAGCGCTATTCCACATGTTTGTCACGTGTTTAGCTGCAGCCGGGCCGGGGGCAGGGGCAGCCACTGAACTCATTTACCCTCTCAACTATCACCAGAACGGCGGGCACTTCAGAAATTGGAGTGAAGGCAAACGGGCCAGAGTGAGAGAGAGAGAGAGGGGGACAGGGACAAAGGCAGACATCACTTCCGTTGGATATACAGTTGTAGTTCTCTCGCTTAGTTGCTTGTGTGATTTGCTCTCATCTTCTATCTATGTATTCTCTTTGTTATTTGATAAATGTCACCGGCACTTGAAGGCGATCATTGGCCCAGCCAGAGAGAGAGAGATCTGCACTACACTTAGAGAAACTTGTGAAAATTAGTTGAAGCGAGAGGGCATATATTTTTTAAGCAGCTTCTGATTATCCAGGAAATGTTATACAGTCCTAAGTAAACCCAAGCCCGGCTGCATGTTCCCTATTTACTATGGCCCAAAGAACTCGAAACATGTGAGAGGCAAACAAAAATAGCGAAAGGCGCCCGGAATCCGCCCGATGCACTTGCTGTCGAGTCATGCAAAGGAGGAATGGGATGGGATGGGATGGTATGGTATGGGATGTGTGTCTCCTCCATTCCGATGTGGCCCTACTTTAATTATAGCCCACCTATCTCGGGGCGTCTGCGAAGCGGAAGTTTGTTTAGGATATTTGGCATTGTGTGTGCCGGCATTTTACAAGCTCATGGATGCAGCTGCTGCCTGTCTGCGTATGGCTCTACCTTCTGTCATCTCCCTTTTACATACTGTACATGCACAGCTCTCTCTCTCTCTCTTTCTCTCTTTACCCATGACTCTATCTGTTCTGAATCCATGATGCGAATTATTCAAATATCTCGTTTCTCGCGCGCTCTCCTTTAGAGTTGGCCTGGCCTCACTCACTATCTGCACATGCGGGCGGGCTACACGGCTCTAGCATACAAATTAGATGCAGCGATAATCGACTATTCAGGTTGACTGCCTCCAGGTCCCTCAGACGACTTACCTGTCGCTCTCCTTCTGACTCTCCTCTCACTGTCTCAGTGGCCAGAAGAAGTTTTCAGTTTTCCATTACTGTTCTTAAGCACTTTCAAAGTGAATTTTTCAGTCCCAAATAATCCTTTCTTTGATATGCTTTTCCGTTAGCTGCAACAGAAGTAGAAATTGTAGCATTTGGTAAACTGAATTCAACATGAAATTAATGTTAATCCCGCTGCCATGAGTTGTCGCAGACGCACATATGCAAATGTATTTGTGTGTGTGTATCATGTTCTACCTGCTAGTATGCGTGTGCAAAGGTTTATGCGCTTGAAAATTAAATTAAAGATTCAGTGGAAGAGATATGCAGACTATATAATTTTGTTTTGAATTTTTATTCAAATTTGTAGATTCAATTTCAAAATACAATTAAATTTAGAAAGTTATACTTCTATTCAGTGATATTTGCATATGAGAAATGCTCGTAAGCTTATTTCAATTTAATATCAGAATTCGTTTTTCCATATATTTCCACCGCATAAACCCAATAATAAAAGTGCACTGGTTTCCGTGTCTAGACCGGCGGCAGTTGTCCCAACTTTTCTATGCCAAATGCTGCCACCATAAAAGAGAAAGAGTAAAAAACAGAAAGAGAACGGTAGAGGCAGAGCGCGGGCAAGGAGCGAAAGAACATAAAAAAACTTGTACAACGCCATAAAAAAAACCGCCGCACAGAAACAGAAATCAAAAATCAACAGTGGAAACTTGGAAGCCAACCCCAGGAGACAGATGACAGGATACAGGCGGCAGCAGCGGCAGTAGTAGTAGTGGGACCAAAAACCCACCCAGACAACTAGACCAACACCCACCCGAAAGCCACCCATACAACTAGACCAACCCATTTGGGGGTGGCATTTTGGCTATTTGCCTTTGCCGCGCCTGAGGTGGCAGCAGCGGGCCAGAAAGAAGAGAAGGACGAAAGCGTCGACTCGTCTGGTGCTGCTACAGGATCCCAGACATAACAGACGACGAGCCTAATGGGATAAACTACGTGTAGCATTACGCGGATATCCCCTTTACGTACGACACGCACACAGCCACACACACAGCCAGACAGCAGCTAAATGGGAAACAAAACTTGGCTTTCTATGAGTTTATGTATTCTAATTTGAATTCGTTGCCTCAAAATAACCCCACACAAAAAGAGAATAAAATACAAAACAGTATCCACGCACAAACACACACTCCCCCGCAAATAGAGCGCCAGCCTGCTCGCGCAAGAGGGTGGAACTTTGTTTTGCCGGCGAAAATGCCGCAAATAACGGCAGTTACACATGAATGTGCGTTTTACTTACCGGCAAAAACTTTACAGTTATCAGACACTTTGATACACTTTTACACGTTTTATTAAGTATTTGTAAAATATTTTTCTTATTTATTGTGGCTTTAATTGCTAGTAATAATTAATTTGTCCCATTATTTTGGGCAATCCAATAGCACAGACACATAGGCACACACACACACTCAAACGCGCGCTCGAACACTTCAATGTCCCGGTTGAAAAAAGCGTCGTCACACGCACAAATTTACCGTTGTCAATAGTTGTGATATATCATTTTTTATATATATATTTTTTTTTTAATAATTTGTTGGTGATATATTTTTGAATGAAGATTTTAATGATATTTATTTTTCTTAATTCAGTTAAAACTTCGACACTTCACTTTACCGTTATCGTCCGCCGCACGTTGTGAGTCGTTCAATTGTGAGTTTTGAGTTCCCCCCAAAACAAAAACACCAGCAAAACGCTTGAACACTAGGGCTGGGGAAAACATCGACTGCGTAATCGATACTATCGGAACTTCCATCATCGAGTGGAAACAATCTGCTTTTCCCAGCTCTGAAATTGTATCCTGTCAGGAAATTTTTCCCCAGCCTTGGTGTTCCCACTATCGATTGTGGCCCCTATCGATATTTTCCCAAGTCAGGGAAATTGTATGCTGACTCATTTTTGCGTTTCAAGTATTTTCCTCGCTTTTGATATTCTGATTAATATTACCAGCCAGTTAGGGTTCTAAACTCCCAGCTTATAATTTTAACAGATTACTCAATCAATTCTCTACAATTAACCTTATTATAATTACTATATTGTATTATTGTTATGTATTTGCTCATTGTTGGGTGCTCAAGCTGCACCCCGTTGCCTTAATACCCCCTGCGACAAAACACACAAAATTAAACCACTAACGCGTTTTCTGGAAAACCACTGGAGCGTTGAAAATCGATACGTATCGATACTAAACAGCTGATCAGGCAAAAGGATAAAAACCCCGTCAATAAAAACGCGCAATTGCCGAAAAATCCTTGCAAAATAACCAATTTCAGCCGCAGAATGGCGGCGGAACTGAAGCATAAGAAGCGCCACGCCTGCGTAATCGTACTAGGCGACATTGGGCGCAGTCCACGTATGCAATACCATGCCCAGAGCCTGCTGGAAGACAATTACAATGTGGACATCATTGGATATCTGGAGACGCGTCCCCTGGAGGCATTGAGCGCTTGCAAAATCCATGAGCTGTCGGCTGTGCCAGTGACGAATCTAACGCCACAACTGAAGCTACTCTTTAAAGCCTTCTGGCAGACACTCAGCCTGCTGATGGCCCTGATCTCCATACGACGTCCCAACTTTCTGCTCGTCCAGAATCCGCCCGGCATACCCACCCTCATCGTTTGCTACTTGTACTGCGCACTGACGCGCACCAAATTGGCCATCGACTGGCATAACTACACGTACACGGTGCTGGCCATGGGCACGGCGGGCGGCGAGCAGAGCCGGCTGATTCGCTTGGTCAAGCGACTGGAGCGTTACTTTGGCTCCAAGGCGCACACACACTTTTGTGTGACGCGTGCCATGCAGGAGGATCTGCAGCGCAACTGGAACATAGGGTGAGTGTCACAACAATCATTTTGGTAGCCAATAATTACTGGGTCTCTTCTGCAGTCCCGTCACCGTCTTGTACGATCGTGCACCCACGCAATTCCATCCGATTGATCTGCCCCAGAAGCACGAGCTGTTCATGAAGCTCTCCAAGGATTATCCGCAATTCATGCCGCAGTGTTATGCTGATCTGAAGCAGTCCGGTGTGCTGGAGGCGACAGCTTTAACACAGAAGCTGGCCAATGGCAGTGTCCTCTATAAGCCACAGCGACAGGCCATACTCGTCTCGAGCACCAGTTGGACGCCCGATGAGGACTTTGGGCTACTGCTGCAGGCGCTGCAGTCGTATGAGAAGACAGCGCTGGCCGAGCCTCAGCTCTATCCCGCCTTGTTGTGCGTCATCACTGGCAAGGGGCCGCAGAAGGAGCAGTATGAGGCGGAGATGGGCAAAATGCAGTGGCATAAGGTCAACATAGTCACGCCATGGCTGGAAAACGAAGACTATCCCAGCATACTGGCCAGTGCCGATTTGGGTGTGTGCCTGCACTGGAGCACCAGCGGTCTGGATCTGCCCATGAAGGTGGTGGACATGTTTGGCAGCGGCCTGCCCGTCTGTGCATACAATTTTAAATGGTAAATTGTCCATAAATCAAATCGAATCTACTCCTACTCTGACTCTTCTCTGTTCTAGCTTGGATGAACTGGTGAAGCATGGAGAGAACGGCTTCGTCTTTGGCGATCATCATGAACTGGCCGAACAGCTGCGCATTTGGTTTGAAAACTTTCCCAACAATCCCAGCATTCAGGAGACACAAACGCGCTTCGGACGCAGCCTGCAGCAGTTCCAGGAGCTGCGCTGGCGTGAAAGTTGGCGCCTAAACGCGGCACCCATACTCGAGGCATTTCTTTAAGGCATTGTCAGTAATTTATTTATAGAAAGTAAAAATCGTATGACAACCAGAGAGGATTAAGGCATTGATTGCTCTACATGCTCGCCCGACATATCGGGCAGTTCAGGGCGCCCGTTGCTTTGAGTTCGGATGCACACACCTTGTGCAGGGCATGATGACATTTTAGATGATGCATTTCATCTTTGGTAAGCAAATCGAAGCATATGATGCATTGATCGCCGGGCATGGTCAGGTTTACAGTTTTGTCGCACACCAAACAATTAGGGCGAAGATAACGAAACTCTTGGAAGCAGGCGTAATGCAAGGCATGTCCACACTGCATTCGATGCATATCGTCGCTTGGCATCTCTTCGGTGCAACAGGGACAACGGTCACCAGGCATGCTAAAATGTAAAAATTCATTTTTTTAGAGAACTCTTCATAAATGCTGTAAGTACTCACCTCTTGCGGTATTTCCGACTTTCAAATTTATTATTTGGTCTGCCGTCATTTTGGTTTGTTTTCTCTTCGTCTCTGCGGTGTGTCTGGTGAGGCGGTTGGTGCTGATAATTTGGCCTGCTTAAGTAGAGAGCGAGGCCTGCACTTACTACAACAGTTAAAACACCCAAAATAATATTTAAATAAACCATGTTGAGAGTTTATTCAATCCAAAAGAAATTCGCTGGCAGGAAAGTCCCCAAAAAACAAATAAAAAGTGTGCCCTGTCCTCAGTGTGCCCGTCACTGGCAAGCCTTTAAATGCCACACGCTAGTGCTGGCAGAAACATCGATACAATACATCGAAATTGTGCTAAAATTGATTTGGGGCTCTCATTATCGTGTGAGCTGTTCTTTTAATAATATTGATAATAATATGTCCTTATATCCCCAACACATAAAACATTGTGCTCTGTCGATTTAACTCTCATGATGTATCGATGTGTGTCGCACGATAGTACCATCGATGGTTTTGCAGCGCTACGGTCACACCGATTTTCAGTTTCTTCGAAACGGAGGGGTAAATTTTAGCAAAAAAAACTTGTTTTAAGTGCATTTGTGTGTGTAAAAACAGAACTGGTGTGAAGATTTGCCGAGAAATATTGCAGCTCTGTGACCCCGACGTGTGAAATTGATTTGTGTGTGCGCTGTGTGGGGTGCAACGGCAAGCGTTTCGCCGCCGCCTACTCTCCCTCCCCCACCAACCAACAAAGGGCTCTTAACGATTTTTGGAAAGTAATTAAATAGTATTAGCCGCCGATAAAGTACGTTTAGCGATATGGCGGAACGCGAGCGTAGCATACACGAAATGCTGAAAGATACGCCCTCCATGAACGATAGCTGCAGTTCGGTCCACACCGGCACAGAGGGTGGCAGCAACATGGTTGTCGGAATCGGTCTATGCGGCAGCATCAGTAGCCATAGCATTGGTGTGGGTGGTGGTGGTGGTGGAGGCGGGGCCGGGACCGGGACCAACATGAATGTCGGTGGTCCCTTTGCTCCACCCAACAGCTTGCCATTGCGAAATCATTCAGGTAAGAGTCGATGTCGCACTTAAAACCAAGAAGTTTCTCATATATTTGATCGATTTAGCACCCACCACACCAATGTCACCGACAAGTCCGACCTCGGGCAATGGTATACTGACATCGACCGATGGCAGCGGCAGCCTGATACGCACAAGCGCTTCCAAGATCGATAGCATCAAGAACTGGAGCATATCCACATACAAGTGCACGCGTCAGATAATGCTCGAGAAGCTGGGCAAGTCGCAGCGAACTGTCGACTCGGAGCTGGAGGCGCAAATTGAGCAATTGCGCGAGACGCAACGAAAGTACTTGTCGATCTTGCGCCTAACGAGAGCATTTAGTTCACATTTCCAGCATGTGGTCGTCACACAGCATGCCCTGGCCGATTCGTTTGCCGATCTTGCCCAAAAGAATCCCGAACTGCAGAAGGAGTTCACCTGCAACGCGGAGACGCAACGAAATCTAACAAAAAATGGCGAACTGCTGCTCAATGCATTGAACTTTTTTATTTCATCGGTGAATACGCTGTGCAACAAGACCATCGATGATACGCTACTAACGATACGACAATACGAAACGGCAAGGTAAACAAGTCAAAATTGTATCCACTGCATGTAGAAACAATAATTTCCTTTGCTTTAGAATCGAATTTGATGCTTATCGCATGGATTTGGAGAACACCAAACCGGAGGTAACACAATCGGCGGTCGCCTTGGAGGAAACCCAACGAAGTTATGCCCAACACAAGGATCAGTATGAGAAACTACGAGCCGATGTGGCCATTAAAATGCAATTTCTCGATGAGAATCGCGTAAGTTTACCCGTAATTTAAGTACAAAAATGTTTAATTTAATTTCTGACAAACACACAGATCAAGGTGATGCACAAGCAACTGATTTTGTTGCACAATGCAATTGCTGCTTACTTTTCGGGCAATGCCATGGCACTGGAAAGCACTCTTAAACAATTTAATATCAAGGTAAAGGCTTCAACAATTATATGCCACAACAAAAAGCTAACTTTTGCCACGTTTAAGCAGCTTAAGTCACCAAATGCCGTCACTGGATCCTGGCTGGAACAGTAGTCTACTGTCGGGAAAATCTCTCTTCTACTCGAACTCGAACACGATACAGACATTCCCTGGCCCCTCCCTCACTTGCTGAAACGAGTACGCTCTCTCTAAAGAATAAAGGCAGTTTCCATGGATCGTAATAATATTTAAATGCTAACTTTAAGTGAAATTTCCTAAGCAGTAAGGTTCAAAGTGGTGTCTGTATATGTTATATATATATTTTTCCAACTGCTTACCACACTGTATTGTACATGTATGTGCCCCCCTCACCAGCCCAGTATCCTTCTATGCTGCTAACCAAAATAGTTCCTGTTTTTTTTTTTGGTTACAAAATTTAATCCGTGCAATATATTCATGATATATTCTTAGTTCTAGTTGATGTATAACCCATGTATAAATTATTCTTTCAGAGCTTGTATTAATTTTTAATCCCTGTTCACTAGTCAACGTATTATTTACACTAAAACAAAATCCAATATAAATATATAAAATAAAAACTATTTAATAACACAACGCCACCGGCTGGCAGTTAGTTCTTTTCCAGCTTCAAGTCGCTTAGTTTATCATTAAGTGCGGTTTCCTCATCCTCTTCCGCTTTGAACATTTCCTAAAAATATTTAAAAGAAAATTTGTACCCTCCGATTTTATGCTTTTGGGCCACGCTTACCGGATCATAGATGACTTTTATAATGAGCGAACAGCTGGGGCAGGTGGCCACCTCCTCGCCCTCGATTAGCTCCTCCTGCCATTGGTCATTGATTATCAAATATTGTTTTTTTTTTGGTTATTGTTTGTTGCGCATACGACGCGTTACCTTGGATATCTGAAATCGATCGCCGCACGGACAGGGATAGTAGTACATCTCCTCCTCCTCGTCGTATTCGAAATCCTCGATTTCCACCTCGTCGTGATAGATGCTCATATCGTGTCGCTAGGGTCCTCACAGTTGCCAATGCAATTGATTCATATTCTGGTAATTTTCCGCACGCTTCAACAACAAATTCCACGCCAAACAAACCACACGTTGTGCCCGGCGGTGCTGCCAACCTGCTGCAATGAACAGCTGTTCGAGCGTCGCCTTTTGTTATTTGCAACTGTTGTAATTTCCTCACCGGTTGAAATCAAATCGAATCGAATCGCGAAAATGGCAAGCAAAAAGTTTAGCGACATTAATCTGTACGATCTGCTGGGAATATCCATCGAGGCTGAGCAAAATGAAATACGCAAGGCGTATCGTAAGCGCGCACTTGACTGCCATCCGGACAAGAATCCCGACAATCCGCAGGCGGCCGAACGTTTTCATGAGCTGTCCAAGGCCTTGGGCATACTTACAGATGAAACCGCGCGCGCTGCCTACGATAAGGTGCTGAGGGCGAAGAAGGCTGCAGAGCTGCGTAGCAAACAGTTGGACAGTAAACGCCAGAAACTGAAGCAAGAGTTGGAGGAGCGGGAAAAGGCGGCACTGCACAAGCTGCATGCCAGTCAACCATACAGCACCGTGCGCAAGAGCGATGAGGATGTGCTGCAGGAGCAAATTGAACGTCTGCGCCGTGAGGGTTCGAAGATGCTGGAGGAGGAACAGCAGGCCATGAGGGAGCAGATGAAGCGCAGCTATGCGGAGAAGCGCAAACCGCAGCAGGCCACATTCGACTCATCCCAGCATCGCATCAAGATCAAGTGGAAAACCGAAAAGGGTGACTATTCGCAGGAGAAATTGCTCAAGTTCCTGAAGAAATACGGCGAGGTGGTGGCTCTGGTGATGAACAGCAAACGTGGCGGTCGCGCCATGGTGGAGCTGAAGACGCGCGAAGCCTGCGACATGATTCTGGCCTACGAGAAGGGCGACCCATCCAACCCTCTACACTTTCAGTGGGTAACACCGCCGGCGGAGGAAAAGCCGCCAAATGTCAGCAGCAATAATTCGCCGCTGGACTTTGAGGATTTGGCTAAACGTCAACTACGACAGGTCAGAGAGCGCCAGCGTTTGATAGAGCAAATGATGAAGGATGACCAGACCAACGAATAACATCCACTTTAACTCAATTATAGCAGTCAAGTTAATTATAAAATTGTTTTAAATTACATTTAAATCACATTAATTAGGCTAAATTTAGTGCAATCACAAGTTGGCAGTTTATAAATCACAGTAACTAGGCGAATTTTAGCTGCAAAACAAAACACAACAAGTTGGCAGCTTGTTCGCAGCTGAAGTAAAACAGCTGTTTCAGTTTTGTTAATTGCAAAATGCAAAAAAAATGCCACGAAAGATAAATAAATCGAGTTTTTATGCCAATTGAAAGCGATCAACTATAAATTCCCACTCGACGACAAGATGGAGAAGCGCCAGAGGGAGCTGGAGTCCCTGGTTAGCACGCAGAAAGAGCAGCTTACGCGTTACGAGAAGAGGCTCAAAGGTAAATTAGTCACACAATTGATGCACCTTATTGAAGGGGTTTTCCCTGCCTTGCAGATGTGGTTACCGCCTACAAGGGTCTGATGAAGGAGAAGGAAGCGTTGGAGACAAGTTTGACGGCGCATGCAGAGGCCACGGCAGCCACAGGCACAGGCTCACCCGCCAAGGTCACAGATCCTGCCAATGTGAATGGCACCGCCAGTGCAGACGCCACGGATGCGGCAGACTCCAACCCCTCAGCTGAGGGACAACTGCAAACTCAAATCATTACGCTGATGAACTCGCTGGCCACCCTGTCGGCCGAAAAGTCTCGCATGGAGGCCTCCTTCCAGGCGGACAAGAAGCAATTGCGCAGCCAAATAGCCCAAAAGGAGCAAAGCATACAGGAGCTTCATGCCAAGGCAAAGGAGCAGGCAGCCAAGGCCAAGGCCGATGTAGATGAAGTGAAAGCCAAGTGGATCATAGAGCGGCAGGAGCGGGAGAAGGAAACCAACAATCAAATGCTGATGATACGCGAGCTCCAGAAGCTCTATGCGGACGAGCGACACCTCAAGGACAACATCGAGATGCAGCTGAACAACTTTAAGACGCAGTTTGCCAGCAATGAGGCGGAGAACAGTCGCCTGCGCGATCTCCAAGCGCAGCTGAAGGAGGCCAGGCATCAGCTAAAGCAATTTCAGGCCAAAGCGGAGCATACAGCCGTTGCCACCAGCACGGACAACGCCTCTCTGCTGCACCAGGTTCGTCAGGAGATGCAGCAACTGAAGGAACAACATGCGGTGGCCATCAAGCAGGAGCAGCGGAGAGTCTTGCGCGCCGAGGAGCAGAGCAGGAAACAGGCGGCGCTGCATGAGGGTCGTGTGGCTAATTTGGAGGCACGCCTCGCCGAGCTAAGCACCACAGTGGGCAGCTACGATCGCCTGCGGCAGCAGGATCAAGACAGTATCCATGCACTCAAGCAGCAGCTGCAGGATTTGGAGCAGGCCCAAGCCCGTCCGGCACCCGCTTTGAGGACGCTCAGTGAGGATGTGGATTTGGCCACTTTGGTGGATGAAATTGTGCGTCTGAAGAAACTATTGACCAGCGCCAATGCACGCTCTGCCAATCCCATCGATCTCAATGAGATTCTCTCCCTGGGCACGTCGGCGTCCGCGTCATCCGACAGCCATGTGCACTGCGACCAGCAGCTGCAAGGAGTACAAAAAATGCTCGAAGCGGGCAAGCAGCAGCGTCAGTTGCTGGAGCAAAAGATACACCTGCAACAGTCGCACATACAGACGCTCCAGGAGAAGGTGCAAGTGCTCAATCGCAACATTGACGAGTCGGAGCAGGAGCTCAAGCAGCAGGGCGACAAGCTGCGGCAGGCGCTCAAGACGGAGCGCACCAAATGGCAGGAGGCCAAGGCAGAACTTGAGAACGAAACGCGCTGCAAGCTCAACGAACTGGAGCAGCTGCTGCAAAAGCAGCGACAGCGCTCCCTGCAGCTGCTCGACGAGAAGGAGCAAGAGATCAAGACGCTGCAGACTTCGTTCGAGGTGTTTCACACAGCTGGCGGCGGTGGTAGCGGTGCCAGTGCGCTGCCAGTAGAACCAACAGCTGCAGAGAGCTATAACTATTCCTCCGATGGGGAGAGCGTGGAGGTGGAGGTTGAACGCGATCGCAGGCTGCAGGTAAAGTCCAAGAAATTATCGCTCGGTGAGAACTGCCACATGCTGCACTATGCCAACGAGCTGGCACGCAAGGACATAGAAATTACAACGCTGCGCAAGGCCAAATATTCAGCCGAGTCCACGCTGCGAAAGGCAATACAGGATAAGGTGACATCACAGCAGGATATGCACGAAAAGATTGAATGTCTCGAAGAGCAGGTGGACAGGTGAGCGTGGGGTAGAGCTGTGCCTGAGTCAGAACTTTCCTTAAACTTCTTTTTTGTTTCTCTAACCCAGACTGGAACGCTGCAAGACGCGTGAGGGCGCCAATTTGGAGTATTTGAAGAATGTCATCATTAGCTACATTCTCACCAGAGACGCCGATGGCAAGCGGCACATGCTAAATGCCATTTCAGCAGTGCTTCAGTTCACCAGCAGCGAAATGCAAGCCATTAATGCAACATTCCAAAAGAAATAAAATTCGTTTGATAAATTGTACAACAAATCACAGTAATTGTGCGAATTTTAGTCGCAAATCAAACTCAACAAGTTGGCAGCCTGTTCGCAGCTGTTGTAAATCAGCTGTTTACATTTTGTTAATTTCAAAATGCCACAAAAGAGAAATAAATCCAGTTTTTTTTACAGCGAAATGCAACATTGCAAAAGAAATAACATTCTTACGCTAAAGTTTACAACAAAAAACGAATTTAAGTTGAGATTTCTACCAGCTAAAACCCTGCAACGGGAAACTTTTCCAAGTGCGACCTCAGCACACCTGGAAACATGGCCAAAAATTTGAAACGTTTGCCCATTTGTTCGTCTGCCGTGAGCATCTCATAGCCAGAGCGTATCGTTGTCTCGTTCTCTGGCAGCGCATTGGCCAGCAGCTGTTCCAACCGCGCTTCACCCTGCATGCGGCTGAGAAAGAGTCCCTGCTCAATGGGACCACAGCAGTGTAGATGTCCTCTCGCCTCAGCTGTTTGTTTTATCAGCTTAAAGTCCACATCGGCAGTGAGATCAGCGGTGCCCGGCTGCAGCAGTGGCTCGTGCAGCGCATGCTGCTTGAACGCACGAAATGTGTCGGTTTTATCGCCAAAGTGTCCATAGTCCATGATCAGACCAATGCCGCCATTCCGTTCGATGCGATCCGCCAGCAGGCCCACTTGTCGTTCCGTCTCTAGGGAGTACTCCAGGGTGGCGCGTGTCTCGCCTTCCATGGGCTGAAACACGCGCGACACTGGCGTCTGCGATTTGGACAGCACATAACGAAAATCGGGCTCTGACTCAGGCGCCACATCGATGAGCACCTCCTGCCACTGTCCATTGTCCAGCTGCAGTTTGTGCACAGGCAGCGCATCAAAGTATTCGTGGGCCAACACCAGGGAGAAACCCTCGGGGATATCCTCGAGTCTCCGATGCCAATAGGCCTTGGTGCCCGTGGCCGTTGTGCCCACTTGATAGTGCGGCAATTGGGCGTCCTCCGGCAGCGTGTTGTGTGTGTAACAGAAACGCTGCGCCTGCGCTTTGCTCAGGTACGGACTGATCTCCACCATGTGCATGGAAAACTCGGCGCCGAGCTTGAATTTGGTGAGAATTTTGAGTACATCACGCGCGAGGGTGCCGCGACCGGGTCCCAGTTCCACCAGCTGAAAGGGCGAGGGGCTGCCCATTTTGCGCCATTCGGTAACCAGCCAAATGCCAACCAGCTGCAAAGGAAAGGCACACAGAAAGTCAAGCCAAGTCAAGTTTTAAAGGACTCGCTCACCTCTCCAAAGATTTGCGATATTTCCGGCGATGTTATGAAGTCACCCTCACGTCCAAACACATCGCGATTCATGTAGTAGCCTGCCTGTGGATTGGTCAGCACCTCCCTCATGTATTCCGCCACTGTAATCTGTCCTGTGGCCAGAATCTTTGCACGCAGCTGCTTGGCCAGGCTGCCATTGCCTGGTGGCACAGCCTCAGGTGTCTTCTCCGGTTGCGCCTTGGGAGCACTTGTTGCACCCAAATTGGGGCGACGCACAGACTTATAACTGAAGCATCGTCTGCTGCCAATTCTAAAAGCTTCGCGTAACATTTCGTGGCAGGCAGGGGCCGGCAATTCACACAACAGAAACCAAGATCCCCCAAGAGAGCTGCCAACCTATTTGCAAACCATCAGCTGATTGCCTAAAAGCCGTTATTTTCTGTCCAGGGAATTTATTCCACATTTTGCAACTTAAAACTAAAATTAAAACAGGTTAAGCCCCCAATCAAGGCAGCGATAACTGCCAAATCCTCAAAACACCTTAATGCCAGGAACTACCTTCTCGTTGTCGTAGATCTCCTTGGCGTAGCACAAATTGGGGAAGTCAAAGGCAGCGCCATAGCGATTCTTGCATCCCGTGGTGGACTTCTCTCCGGGGGTGTACACAGGCTGGCCAATGATATTCGATGTGGCAAAGTTGCAGGTGAGCACAAAATGGTTGTAGAAGTCGCGAGAGAAGCGCACAGCAGCACATCCCACATGGGTGTTCTTCTCGGCAACGGCAATGGTGAACTTGGCCACATTCTTGTTGGGCAGTTCCTCAGGGAAGTTGGCCAGGATCTCAGGGGAGGCGTTCGAGCGCTCAGCGAACCAGTTCTCAATCTGTTCCTTGAGGATCTCTGCATCCGTGTACTCGCTCTCTGATCCGCTATAGCTGAAGATGGCATTGTTCTGGCCGGCATAGGCAAAGCGTTCCGTGCTGCGGCACTTGTCGGGTATCGACTCGCAAGTTCTCACATTGTAGGAGGCCAGATGAGCGAGTTCCTCGCACCACGACATCTTGGCCATGCGCACAGCCTTGGGGAGACTCTCAATGATGCCGCCAGCTACTTTGTTGCGGAGTTCGTTGAACAGCGTGAGGATGAGCTTGTGATGGGATTCGATTTTGATTTCACGCACATCCTTGGGGCAATCTCCGCTGAAGTTCTGGGTGGGAGAGGGAGATTATTGGAGTGTAGATTGGATGATGTTGCTGTCTTTTACTTACTCCTTTATTATTGCAGGCCACGTGCTTGTCCAGGCAGGTGGGCAGAGCACAGTAGTCGACTGCGAAGGCAGCTCCTAGGATGGCAGCAAGCACAATGAAAGTCTTCTTCATATTGATGTCCGCTGTTGGATTCCAACTGAATAGCAACCAGTGCAGTGGTCTCTATTTATAGGAAGACCACAGACAGCATGCCTGCTCCTTGGACTGGCTAATGGGCAACTGTTTCTGTGTTCTGCACTTCTGGAGAATGTGTCAATCTATTCTGTTTTTCCATTTAGTGTAACAGATAGTTTTGACAATTGGTTCTTGGATTGATGCGTCAGTGGTAGGTCTACCTGGCGGCTAGCAGCTATAAAAGCTGGCCATTGGGTTGGTTTAAGCCAGTCTCGTTCCAAGAGCAAGCAATTCCAAATGGCTTCATTCAAGGTAGTGGCGCTCCTCCTGCTGGCTTGCGTTTTGTGCGATTCCGTCATTGGGGTGGACTACTGTGCCCTGCCCACCTGCCTGGACAAGCACGTGGCCTGCAATAATAAAGGAGTGAGTATAAGACATCAGTAAAATCCAGTCTACTCTCAAATAATCTTCCTCTCCCTCCCAGAACTTCAGTGGAGATTGTCCCAAGGATGTGCGTGAAATCAAAATCGAATCCCATCACAAGCTCATCCTCACGCTGTTCAACGAACTCCGCAACAACGTAGCTGGTGGTATCATTGAGAGTCTCCCCAAGGCTGTGCGCATGGCCAAGATGTCGTGGTGCGAGGAACTCGCTCATCTGGCCTCCTACAATGTGAGAACTTGCGAGTCGATACCCGACAAGTGCCGCAGCACGGAACGCTTTGCCTATGCCGGCCAGAACAATGCCATCTTCAGCTATAGCGGATCAGAGAGCGAGTACTCGGATGCAGAGATCCTCAAGGAACAGATTGAGAACTGGTTCGCTGAGCGCTCGAACGCCTCCCCTGAGATCCTGGCCAACTTCCCTGAGGAACTGCCCAACAAGAATGTGGCCAAGTTCACCATTGCCGTTGCCGAGAAGAACACCCATGTGGGATGTGCTGCTGTGCGCTTCTCTCGCGACTTCTACAACCATTTTGTGCTCACCTGCAACTTTGCCACATCGAATATCATTGGCCAGCCCGTGTACACCCCCGGAGAGAAGTCCACCACGGGATGCAAGAATCGCTATGGCGCTGCCTTTGATTTCCCCAATCTGTGCTATGCCAAGGAGATCTACGACAATGAGAAGGTCGTCGCTGGCATCAAGGTGTTCTAGGGTATCTGTTCACGGAACAAAACTAAGCTGAATATGTAATCGAATGTCCAATGCATCGGCATATATAAAGTGCTAAAATGTACTCAAAATCCTCAAAGGTTTTATTCTTAAATTGTAATCTTTATGAGATCTAGTTAAACGATTCTAAGAATCGCTTGCTCAGGCGCTAGATTTACGACTCGTAATATTAATCCAATATCATTTAGTTTCCCAATCAGCAGGGAAGTAATGCCTCAGATCCCTTAAAACTAATTTATTCTACACCCCCCGTTACACCCATTAACACAAGTTGTTAAATATTTTAGCTTAGGCGAAACAAAAACTCGCTTTTATTGAGCGCCACCCTACCGCAGCACAAGACGGTAGAAGCGGCGACAAACAGCAACAAAGTTCATTTCGTTTATGCGGTGGTGGCGGCAGCAGCAGCACTGGTGGCGGCAGCAGCCTCCTCCTTCAGACGATCCTTCTTGAGGGGACCCATGAAGGCCAGCTTGTCGGCTGGTGTCTGGAAGCGACCATGACCCATCTTCGATGAGGTATCGATGAACTTGAGCTTGATCTGTTCCAGAGCCGAGCGCTTGGTGTGCTTCAGCAGGGACTTGCGCAGGGTGATGATGCGCTTCTTGGAGCCAATGCAGCAGCCCTTGATCATGACAAAGTCATTGTTGACCTCACCATAATGGGGGAAGCCACCCATGGGGGTGATGCTCTTGTCTGTCAGATCGTACTCGGTGGAGGCGTTGTTTTTGATGACCTGCAAATGAAGAAATTTCGATTTAGTCTTTTGGCATACAACAAAAGGGAAGATTGGCCATGGCATAAACTGCCACCGGCTGTGTGTCTGTGTGCGTGTTCAGTCCTATCATTATAGATATCATGGTTTATCAAGGTTTTGTTTGTTTTCGATGTCGTATAATATTTTTGGTTTTTATCATCATTGCCACAGCAGACGAGCAACAGCTGGAGAGCAAATAAAGTGCAGGGGGTTCGGGATAGATGCTTACCTTGCCATCCTTGGTGTGGATGCCAGCACCAATGCGGTAGATCTTCTTGTTGATCTCGGTACGGTGATGGTAACCCTTCTGACCGGCACGTGCCACCGTGGTGGACACACGGGACGGATGCCAGGCACCAATACAGGCAACCTTGCGCAGACCCTTGTGCGTCTTGCGGGGCAGCTTCTTCGTGTGCCAACGCGAGGTGACACCCTTGAAACCCTTACCCTTGGTCACACCAACGCAATCGACCATCTCATCCTGACCGAAAACATTGCTGACCTGGATGGGCTTCTCCAAGTGTTCACGTGCCCACTTGACCTTGTCCTCGATGGAGCCACCGTTCAGCTGGATCTCCATGATGTGAGCCTTCTTTTGACGCTGCTTGATCAAGCGGATCTAAACGAGAAAACGAACAATGGTTAACCATTAGCCACATTGAATTCAGAAGTTTTGCTGGTTGGGGGGAATGGGACTGTACGTGATATGGTTTAACCGAGCGATCATAGCCTGAGCGGCTGCGCACCGTTACTGGAATATATCAAGCGCCCGCCACCCGAGGGGCAGGTTCATCTGCGACGTTGCATTCATGAACTGTGCATCGAGTAACACAGCGCGAATGCTTTTTAGGCCAGGCGCACCAAAGTGCCGAGCCCCCGAAAGGACCCAGCACAGATGGCGCAACAAGGCCAAGGACGTCGTGCACAAAGGGAAAGAGACAGATTTAAATAAGAGAAGATAATTACCTGGGAGTGGGCAATCACACGGATGACCTTGCAGTAACGCAGCATCTTGCGGAAATCATTCTCGATGCTCTTCTTGCCAAGATCATCGGTCCACTTCTTGCTGGCCTTGGTGAAGGCCTTCTTCTTGCTCTTGTACCTGAGAGATGATTATGGGTTTCAAGTTGTAGATGCAGTCAGAAACATGAGTGGTATCCATTGGGTATTCAATTCAGGTTGCCTGCCCAACTTCTTAGCTGCTGTGTCGAGGTGCGAGAAATAGAACAGGAAGTGCACCTCATCGCAATCGTAAATGGCGAGCGGAGATGCAATCTTCCCTGTCGTGCTCACTCGACAAGTTTTGAGTCCAATCAAATCACAAGATTTCAACTCTAACTTGACAGCTCACACGACGTTCAGCGATTTGAAAAGCTCTCTCAGCGTACTGATCGAAGAACTTTATGATTTGAGTTTTTCATTTAGTAAGGTCTCTCAATTGAAATAAGACTTGTAAAGGGTCATCCAAACACACACACACATATACACGAGACACGTGGTTGACTACAAAACCGATCAGAAGGAAGGCAGCAGATGGTAAAAGGTTTCTCAACAATTTTTTTTGCTCATTCAGATACCATCGTATCATCATTCAGGCTGTAGTTGCACACACGTGTGTCCATGCATGTGCATGTGTGTGCATCGGTACTCTTGCACAAAAAACAAAATGGCGGCTTGGATTAACTGTACCCACGTGGGTGTGCTAGATACATACCAGTTCTTGTAGAAGCGACGACGGCACTCCTCGGACAGATGCTGGGCCCAAACATTGACCAAAGCACGCAGACCGAATGGAGTCTCAATGTAGCCGACGGCACCAACCACAATCATGGGTGGGGTCTCCAGAACAGTGACGGCCTCAACGACCTCCTTCTTGTTAATCTCTGCAAAAGGGTAAACAAAATTGCTGGTTTAGACACGTGCATCAGCATAGCATAAAGCGAGAGCTTGGATGAGGTTTAGTCAGTCCGCCCTAGTAAAGTAATAATCACGGTTGATCATATAGTTTCTAACCATAAATTTTTTACCTTTTATCATCATGAAATTTAAGTTGTATAATATTCAAAGAAAAATGTATACTTACTGGAACCGGGACGGTCAGCCTCACGCACAATGTGAGTCATACCGGCCTTGTAGCCGATGAAGCAAGTCAGATGCACGGGCTTGCTGGCATCATCCTTGGGGAAAGCCTTAACCTTGCCACGATGGCGAGCTGAGCGCTTCTTGGGGTAGAAGGCCATGGAGCCATGGCGAGGCGCGGAGAACTTACGATGAGACTGCAAGCAAAACGAACAGAAATCAGACCAAGCGCTTCGAGGTTATGTCAGACACGTGGACATTGAAAATTACAATTTTGGCGAAAGGCGCCCGATTTTTACATTATTTTAAGTGCACAGCGTGTCGGCACTAGGCATTTAAAGATATTTTCTACGTTGTTCAGTGAACCATAATCCACATCGACTATTGCTAGTCTCAGAGTGGTGCATGGTAATCTCATCATAAAACACATCAACAATATGCAATTCAACGTTAAAACTCTTTAAAGCCATCAATCAATTTAACAAACGGTAATCAACTTTAATATTTTAACTTTTATCTGAGTTCAATTTTTTTCTCTTTTTTTTCACTATTTGATGCAGAAAAACTTACCATGACGTCTGTTCACTTCAGACGGATGCGATGAAAGAGAAAGAAAACGGATATCAATTTAAGATGTCAACTTGGCAGCTAGAATGAGCCGTGTGACCGTGGAATGATGATAAGACATACCCTCAAAAATATACTAAAATAGACCTCATTTTAAATATACCGTACATAAACCGTAGTCTTAAATCATATTTCTCGATTTTGATGTTCTATATGATATTGCAGGCTTCAAAAGACTTTTACCACAAAAAAAAATTATTGAATCCTCCCACTCCTGTCTATATTTTTGTTTGAAATCTGCTCGAAAATGTTTGTAAAGAGTTGCCTTCCAAAATATACCGTAATATACCGAACAATTATCGAAATATACCGATATATATTATCGACTTACCGTACATAAAAATATACCAACCAATTTTTCATTGGAATGGTACTCTTGTCATATATAGATTTCCCGCCTAAATACCTTTTTAAAATATTTGTGTATATTATTTTCAAATGAGTGTTTTCTTGCAGGAAAGAAACGGATGAGTATCATCAATAGTATCATCATTACTACTTTACGATTTCTTTCATATCGAAGTAGCCTCTTCAATTTGCTAGAGAGTTTAAAATATTGTTTAGTATTTTTGAGTATTTTCGTAAATGAACGGCCATACTTTGTGAGCATTTTGGCGCATTTTCTGCTTGATGTTTGCCAAAAATTGCAAAGTAAAATATCACTAAAAAGCAAATATGTCGACGCTGGAATTGTGCGAGAAGTACTTTGAGACACGAGATGTGTACAAGCTGATGAATCTCCAGAAGGATGCCAAAGAGAAGGAAATTAAGAAGGCATACCACAAGCTGTCACTGCTGGTGCACCCAGACCGTGTGCCGGAGGACCAAAAGAAGGAGTCGACGGAAAAGTTCAAGGTGCTGTCAAAGATCTACCAAGTGCTGACGGACAGCCAGAAGAAGGCATTGTACGACGAACAAGGTATCATTGATGACGATGACGATTCGGAAGGCAAGTTGTCCTCATGGCTGGACTTGTGGAGCAAAATATTCAAACCAATCACCGAGGAAGTTATCAACAACTATGAAAAAGAGTATGTCGGCTCGGAGCTGGAGCGCACGGACGTCAAGAAGGCCTACCTGGGTGGCAAGGGCTGTTTGAACTACCTCATGAATCATGTCCCCTTCATGAAGGTGGAGGACGAGCCGCGCATCAAAGTAATGGTGGAGGCCATGATTGCTGCCGAAGAGGTTCCAGAATACAAGGCCTTCACGGAGGAGCCAGCTGCCAAGCGCAAGAAGCGCCACAACAAGTATGCGCGTGAATTCGAAGAGGCCCAGGTCATCAAGGAGCGCATTCGGCAGCGCCAGCAGAAAAAAGACGAAGAAGATCTGGAGGCCTCCGGTGGAAATCTGCAGCAGATGATACTCGCGCGCAAAAATCAACGCGAATCCAACTACAATTCTCTCATGGATCGTCTGCTGGAGAAATACGGCGATGAGGATGATTCCCAGACTGTGGATTTCAGCTCCTTTGAGAAGAAAAAGAAGTCCAAGGCAAAGAAATCCGCAAGGTCCAACCCCAAAGAGAAGCTCAAAAGCGTTAGGGCTGGCCGAGTAGAGAAGGCCAAAAAGTAAGCCGTAATTTTGCATATAAATATATTTGATAAACGCATACATATAATCGTATTCCGCAAAGTGTATTGTATAATGTAGCTTAAGTTTATATACAGGCATATAAATTGATAAGTATATTTCAGTTTCATTTTCATTTCAAGCCATGTTGAAAGGTCGAAATTTGTTTTGTTTAAACAATTAAAAAACGTGAATTTTTAATTGGTTATGAAGTAAATCAAAGCAAATTAATAAAATAATTAAGTTAATGTGTGAAATTGTTTTTTTCCAATTACAAAAATCTAAATATAATAAAAAAATAAAAATAATGTTCCAATAAGCAACAAGTAAAAGATTTATTTAATTGTGTGACGTCACATCATTTGTCACACCTTGCCATGCATAGCCTTACAGCAGCGTCTGGTCACACCACACCATTGTCTATCGAAATCACATTCATAATAAACAAAAATTTAATACGAATTTGGAACCAAAATGAGGTGCGTAGTGCCAAAATGCATAAATGCCACAGCGGCCGCAAATAAGATGCATGATATGTGCTTCTTCAAGTTTCCGAAGAATGCAGATTTGGCCAAACGTTGGCTCTCATTTTGCGGCAACAAGGATGCCCTGAAAATGAAGAATGCCTGTATTTGCATTAATCATTTCAAAGAAGAGGATATCGTGGGAGCTGAAAGATTCAAATTGGGTGAGTCCCAATCGTACATCATTCGGATCACGTGGTAAAGTCTATTTCCAATAAACAGGACTGGCAAAGCACATTTCATTAGGCCTAAACGCTGTGCCGTGCATAAACCTATTAAATGACAGCATGTCTACCGCGTTCCATAAAGAACCACCAAAAATCCTAAATAAGCAGAAACTGTTGGACGCGCTTCTGGCCGATGTTGAGGAGGAGGCGGAAGAGACCATCAGTCCGCTGCCCATTGAGGATTTTCAGGAAATACAACAGGAAGATTGTCCCGAAGAAAATGTTGATGAATCGGTTGAGGTCGAGGAAAACCCCGAGAGCGTGTTTCAGTTCAATAAGTGTCGCACTTGCTATCGCGACTATGAGTTTGATTTGAATGAGAAAGATCCTTTTGAAAAGGCTAACAGCGTTTTGCTGTGTCGCATCGAAGTCATTTGCGGAATTTGGGTAGGTCTGATCATTGCATTCGGCAGAAACTTGAATTCAAATGTAATTTATAACCCACAGCTCAGCAATATTGAAGGTGGACCACGTTACTTGTGTCCGGATTGTCAGTTGTCGCTCAAGAATGCAATCGAGTTCCGTGAGATGGTCATTGGTACGGAGCTGATGCTGACACAGGGGAAGACCGTGTGTGAAAAATCAACAGTCGAAATAGAGTTGGACTCAACAAAGAAATTAGAATTGGCATCGTTTAATGTAGAGGAAGACAACGACGAAGAATATACACAGTATGAGCAGATTTACGATTTACCATCCACTTCTGCCCGAAGCCCAAACTCTGATAAGATGGATCTTGTAGAAATAATAGAAATCACTGAGGAAGATATCGATGCTGCTAGAGCAGATGATGATCCACGCAGCGTCTCCCGTGGCACGAAAATCCTAAACGAACTGATAAGCGAATTCACAGGTCCAGATAAAGATGAAATAATGGCAGTGAAACCCACCACCAAGGAACGTGCCAAGCCAAGGAAAATGAAAATACAAGCAAGAATACAAGACGATGACGAGGATGATTCTCAGTTTATAATTTTCCGCTCCTTTGAGAAGAAAAAGAAATTGAGCCCAAACCAAAAATCCTCAAAACGTAATTCATTGAAGAGAAGCGGAAAGCTTGCAGAGTATAGAATGCCAAGAACTTAGCCTTTGTTTTATAAACATTATTCATTAGACTTATTATTATTATAAGACTCAAAATATTCCTCATAAACTTTTGTACAATTTAATTTTTGTTTTGTTTATTCTCTTTTTATAACAATTTCGAATTGAAATTGAAAAGGGAGTCAATTTTTTGTTTCAGCTACGATTAAAATTAGTAAGTGCAGACATTTATTTCTTATTATTCAAATATATGATTATTATTCAAAATAATTTAGTAAAAAAATAAAGTAAATGCTGTTATATTTTCCTTATATTTATGAAGAGGAATGTATTCTCAATTTCATTCCTTTGCGACGCCACTTCGTGTTGTTTTGTTGTTTATGGTAAATAATATAATTTTGGAGATATTTTATGCTATTATTTTTGGAGGCACTTTTTATTTTTAACCTTATTTTGCAATCAATCCAATAAAGACAAGTCATGAAAATGAGCCAGTTTTATGGAGAATTGAATGATGATTCGAGTAAAATTACATTTTCAAAGCTGGTTAACCAGCTAGTAATATAAAACAGAAGCTCATAGCCGAGGAAAATCATTTAAGATTTACGGTATACTTACAGAATATTTTGAATATTAAAGGGTATATTTCGGTATATTGTCGAAGGTCTGTCGGTATATTTCATCGATAAATCCGCGGTCACATTGATCTAAAAGGAAATAAACACAATTTTATAAAAAACATGTTTCCACCAAAAATAAGATGCGCCGTGATAAGTTGCCCATATGCAACAATGGCCCCAACTAAGAGGGAGCAAATATGCTTCTTCAAGTTTCCGAGAAACGCGGATTTAGCCAAACGTTGGCTCTCATTCAGCGGCAATAAGGATGCCCTGAAAGTGAAGAACGCAAGTATTTGCATTAAACACTTCAAACAGGAGGACATCGCGGGGTCTAGAAAATTCGAAATGGGTGAGTAGAGTTGGGATAGCAATAGTGGATAATGTATTAAAATTATTCCTTAATTAGGATTGGCCAAGAAGCGGACCGCTCGGCCAGGCGCAGTGCCGTGCATAAACCCGGGACGCGACTTCACAAAGGAAAGAGCTGTCAAAGAAGAAACTCAAATAAGAAAGAGACTGTTGGCCGAGCTTCTGGCGGATGCCGATGAAACGGACATGTCCCTGGAGGACGCTGCACCCGCATCCAGCTATGATCAATATCATTCGGGCCCAGCCCACGACAGTCCGTCGACTAATGAGGAAAATTATTACCTACAAGCAATGGAACATGAAGATTACCCCGAAGCCGATGCCGATGAAGCTGAGGAAACCGAAGAGATCCTGATGCAACTCAATAAGTGTCGCACTTGCTATCGGGACTATGAATTTGATGTGAATGCCGAGGATCCCTTCGACAATGCCAACAGCGTTTTGCTGTTTCGCATTGAAGTTATTTGCGGTGTTTGGGTGAGTCTGGAACATTAATATATAGCTTATTCGACTTGAATTAAAATATATTTGATATCCCTACAGCTTAGCAATATCGAGGGCGGACCACGTTTTATGTGTCCGGATTGTCAGTTGTCCCTAAAGAATGCAATCGAGTTCCGTGAGATGGTCATAAGCACCGAGGTGATGCTAACTCAGGGCATGCCCGTGTGTGATAAACCAGATATCGAAATAGAGTTGGAATCCACAGAGGCGGATCTTAGAGAATCTCTAACCGAGTGGACAACTGAATCCGTAACAACTAAAATAGAAGCTGAAGTCGATGAGGAAGTGGAAGACGAAGGACCACATTATGAAGACGTCTATGAAGCATCAACTAGCCCCGTGTGTAGTCCAAACTCTAATAAAATGGATCATGTGGAAATAATAGTGCCCAGTCAGGACAACTTTGTGAGAGTAAATACAAGGAGCGTTGGCCGTGCCTCAAATATCCTCAATGAACTAATAAGCGAAATAACAGGTCAAGATAAAGTCAAACCCGAAAGGTTAAAAACTGCAATAAAAGCGGCGACACCAGCTAAAGAGCAGGCCAATCTAAAGAAAATGAAGATCGAAGAAATAAGCCAAGATAATGACGAGGAGGATGATTATAATTCGAAATTTGTGGCATTCAGCACATTTGGGAAGAGAAATAAGTTCAGAGTAAAGAAATCTTGACAGAATACACACAAAGAGATAGCCAAGAGCTTAGACGTAGTTAAAAATAATTATTAACCATAATCGTCTAATCCTTCATAAACTTTTTTATTTGTAATCAACCCATTTAAAGTGAATATTCTATTGTATTATAAGTAAAAGAAATGTTTTAAAAAAATGTAATACATTTATTTGTTCAATGTTTTTTTGTAGAAGTAAATTCAAAAATGCATTAATGTGATGTCACGTGCTGTTTTGTTTCACCCTGCAGTGCGCTTTTATCTGGTCATACTATCGAAGTCACACCACCGCTCAGGGCATATTTACGGTATATTTTGGAAGGTCAATACACGGTCACACTGCCTCTGACGTCGGTTTTCTTTTGCACGAATGGTTTTTCTTATAACATATTGCAAGACAAGGCTATTTTCTGTTGCACTCTATTAAGATGGACTGGTACATTGGCACAGAATGGAAGGACGAGAAGCGCGGCCTTTGCAAGAAGGTACTTGGCCTGCAGTTCGAAGACATGGCAAAGCCGATGGCTGCCAGCACAGTGCTGTTTAGCGTCAACAACAAATGTGCCAATTTGAAGGACAGGCCCAGCAAGTATCTCGAAAGCGACGAGTCCTCGACATATCCCCAGCAGCATACCTTGGAAATGGGAACTGCCATAACGCCCGTGGACTGCTATGTGGAGATGCTGCTGCAGCAATTAATGCTGGGGGAAACCGCGGCCTGCAGCATTACCAGCAAGACTGGCGAACGCATTGAGTTTGAATTGAAGCTGGAGCTGATTGTTAAAAACCCGCAGGTGCACAAGCTAAACGCAGCTGAGATCTATGAGCTGGCGCTACGCCTCAAGGAGAGTGGCGTGGCCATGTTCAAGAGCTATCCAAAATTTGCATTTGATTACTTTGCGCGGGCCGCAAAGCTGCTTATCACCTACAAACCGTTCGATCAACTCACCAAGAAGTCCAATGGGATCAATGGCACCACCGTGGAGGCATTGTTTGTGCAGCTGCAGACCAATCTGGCCGCATGCATGCTGCAGGAGGAGCGCTACGAGCATGTTATCTATCACACAGAGTTTGTGGAGCGGGCCGAGAGCCCCACCGAGAAGAGTATTTACCGTCGCGCCTTGGCCTACTATCACATGAAGGAGTTCGCCAAGGCCCAGGCCACCATAGAGCGGGTGCACGACTACGAGGAGAAGCGAGATTTCAGCAAATTGCGTGACAAAATTGCCGCCAGCTGGAAGGATAGCAAGGCCCACTACAAGGAGGTCGTACAAAGAATGTTTAGCTAGTTTTAAAAATATATTACAAAAATAATGCTCATTGTTAAGATTCTCTCAGACAACAAAAACAAATTTGTGTAGAAAATAATTTTTATTTAAAATACTTCTACTTTGATTTCCTATTCTTTTTTGGATCAAACTTGGTGTTCCTATTATTTTTATGGTCAAACTTTGCTCTACCCTTATTTTTGGGATCAAACTTTTCTCTCTTGTCATTTTTAGGATCCATTTTTGCCTTCTTATTCTTGAACTTCATGCCGCCGGGCAGACTGTGTCGTTTGCGAGAGGATCTCTCCTCATGTTTGAAGAGCTCTGCAAAAGGAAAATGTTTAAAATGTTGACTGGCATGACGACTTTGTGTATTACCTTCATCCGGCTCCTCGCCCACTTCCTGCTTGTAGTACGCAGCATCATCATCAGCATCGCTGTCCATGCCATCCGCTTCCTTTTTGGCTGCCCATTTCTGGTCTTTCTTTAGTTTCAAATTCTTCGCACGATTCTCAGCCTGCTCCTTCTTGCGTTGCTCCTTGAGTTTCTTCTTCTTTTCAATCACCTTGCGCATCGTTTCTTTTTCATCCTCCGTCTTCACGACATGGTCGTGATATAGCACTTCGCCGGTAAAGAGTCCCTCTTCGATTTTAATCAGCTGCATGGTCAGACGCGGTCCGATCTCGTGCAGCTTTATGGTACTCTTATTTCCTTCCAAGTTACCGCCACTCTTGATCGTCTGCGCGAGCACCACATGCGCCTGTTCGTCATCTTCGGCCTCCGATTCGGATGCGTTGCCATCTCTGAAAGGAAAAGAGACTAATAAAGACTGAACACCGAACTCCTTTCTCTTGCTCACCTCGCAACGAAATCAGCAATGTCGTTGTACTTATTAAGATTCGGCACGACGCCCGTGACAATTTTCTTAACTGCGCGATTCAGACCCACCGGCACAACCTCCACCGAATAGTGACGCATCTCCACCAGCTTTGTGTCAGGATTATACGAGAACAGCACACAACGACGAATGGTGCCAATGTTGACCGTGTTCAGGTTAATCGACGGGAACATGTTTTGAAATGTGCTGGCCATCAGCTTGAGATGATTGCCATCGCCACTAAAGTTGTTCATAATGACCAGCGGGGCTTGCTTGAAGTGATCACTGTCAATCATTTGCTTCTTGGCTAGAGAAATTACATCCCGCGCCAGCGTAAATTGGTGCACCTGTTGAGTAAGTCATATGAATTTAGAAACAAAATGCAAATACCGCGAGCTGCAAAACGAACCTTAAATGTCAGTGACGGACCTCGCGGGAGGCGCACCACTTTGAAGGACAACTGTGTGGATGCCTTGTTGAAGATGGTCATGTGCGACACATGAAAGAAGCTGCTCAAGCTAACAAAGTCTTTGATGCGATTCATGCGCGATTCCCGCAAGTTGGTCGCCGTGAACGGCTCCATGATGCGCCGAAAGTCCAGTGTGAGGTCTGTGATGTACGGGCATGTTAGTCCACGATGTATGACAAAGGAGTGGGGCGCCTCTACGATCTCGTTCGGTTCGCTGGCCTTAAAAGCTGCCGTACGCGTCTTAGGATGCACTTTTTTCTTTCCGCGTCCCATGTTTTTGTCTGATTCTTACAAGTAGCACGTGTTGTCGATAAATGTGTTCGATAGACATACCTAACATTCACACGCGGTCACACTGCATGGTGTCAGCTGCTGTCACTACATGGTCACACTGTGCAGTTTAAATCGAATTCAAATTGATGTTGTGGAAAATGAGCGATCGATGGGGTTAAGTTTCCTTTTATTTAAATTATATTTATTTAATCACACTTAACATAGCAAAACACAAATGATGTTATTTCGTTTCATTTATGCATTTAAAGTTTTACAACTGTTTTTTTATGTTTCTTTCGTTTATCAGCTAGTTTTGAAAAGTTGCTTTTTAAGAGGCCAATTTTTGTATGTGAAATGTATGGTGAAAAACTGAAAAGAAAAGTTAAAGTAAAGTCTGCGTTCTGGGGGGGAGGTAGGGCTAAAATATCGGCAATATACTAGTGCCAGGCCGAGCTGCACTGCGGGGGGCCTAAATGATTTTTTATGGAACATTCAATCGAAGATTTTGTTCTTGTTTTTTCTCGAAAAATTACAACTATGTATTTATGTTGCGAAAAATTAATAATATTAATATTTTTAATATTAGCATATATGTATATTTTATAAATTATAGTTCTACAGCTTAAACTGAATTTGGAGTGTTTAGTTTTTTCTTTTTCTTTTCTTATCCGTTTTTATTTTCCATGCATTGTTTAATGCGATATTTTTCCTTTATATATATATAACACTTCAGTTTAAACCGCAGTTAACTACAGCCGGATGTTGTTGTTGTGTTTTCTGCTTGGTGTTGGTGGTGCTGTTGTTGGTGATTTGAATTATCAATTTTTATGCATATATGACAAACTGCTAGTGGCTGTGACTGAACAAACGACAGATGCAAAAATCCATATCTTATTTATGCTGTTCTCCTGCTCATGCTTCTGCTGCTGTTGTTGTAGTTGTAATTGTTGTTGCTTTTGTTAATGTTTCTGTTCTGGCGGTTGCGGGTGGTAGCTGCTGCCGTTGCTGCTGCTGCTGCTTGGGGCGGTCACTGACAGCACTGCTTACGTACATCAGCTGTGACAGTCGGCTTAACGTCGATGGGCTCCACGTTCGACGGACGAATAACATCGCCTTCCGGCGGATCTCTGATTTGTTTCTGCGACACAATACGATAGATCTCTGCAAAACAAACACAAAATATTCCATTTTTATAAGCAAAATTCAAGACTTTATAGAGACAGGGACAAACCTGTGAGTATATTCTGGAATGCCGTTTCAACGTTCGTCGAGTCGAGGGCCGATGTTTCTATGAAACTCAAGCCATTTCGCTCGGCAAACAGTTTCGCCTCGTCCGTTGGCACCGAACGCAAGTGTCGCAAATCGGACTTATTGCCCACCAGCATTATGACAATGTTCTGATCGGCATGATCGCGCAGCTCACGCAGCCATCGCTCCACATTCTCGTACGTCAAATGCTTGGCAATGTCATAGACCAGCAGAGCTCCAACAGCACCGCGATAGTAGGCAGAGGTAATGGCGCGATAGCGCTCCTGACCAGCCGTATCCCAGATTTGCGCTTTAATTGTCTTACTATCGACCTGTGCGTGGGGAGGAGGGGTGAAACGTTAGAATGATGAACGCTAATTGGCAATTTGGCCAAAGTTATCCTTGGTGCCTATGGCAGTTTCGCTCTGAAAATCAATAAACAAGCTCCAGACCAGACACAGTGATGCCAAAATTTGAGTTTTTCTTAGTTTAATTATAATTTGTCGCTATATAAAACCATTCAAGTGTTTCTTTTATGCTTTGATTTAATGATTTTATTTAAATTTAAGACTTTAAAGCTTTAAAGCATTTCGTTCATTTGCCACCACTGTGTCCTTCCAGCGAAACGCACACGCAAGACACAAGAAACCCAGCAACGCACCTCCCGCCGCCCCAAGGGGTAGGTGTAGCTACCCACTCCTTCACTTACTCACCTCTATGCTGCGCGTTGCAAACTCCACACCAATTGTCGACTTGGACTCCAAATTGAATTCATTGCGCGTGAAACGTGAAAGCAAATTACTTTTGCCAACACCCGAGTCACCGATAAGGACAACTGCAAGGATTATAGAGCATTAGTGACATTCTGGAATTGGGTTTTCTTTTTGCTGAAATTCACTCTGCGCCCCAAGGCAAGCAAACACCCCCACAGTTCAGTTGCATAATGTGAGTGGCACATTTCGTGTCTTGTATTTTATGGTCAGACAAGCTGACTGCTGGCCTGGAAACCCGCCTCCTAGGTAATTTCCTCCTTCGTATTGACTCCCGCGCTGCCGTTGGTACGGCCCCAAGGTCAGCAAATACATAAAAAATGCTATGCTTTGGGGATTTTGGGCCATGAAAACAAATGTTTTATTATTGTGGGAGCTGATGTTTGGCAGCGCGGTTATTGGAAAATTCAGTGTTTCGTGGGATGTTTAATGAATTTAGTTGCAGGAAACATTTCTTATAGAATTTAATGCAAATAGCATGGAATTAAAAGAATAATGGAATTAAATTATGATCAGTTCCCATCATTTACAGCAAGACTTCAACTATCATCGTTAAAATATTCAGCTATCACATGTCCACTTTCCCGTCAGTTGGTTTTTATTTTGACACCCTCTTCTTTCAAAATGTTGTTGATAAAGCGCACGGGCACATTGTTTGCTCAAGATCTTTGCAAAAACAATAACAAAAACGTATCAAACACCTTTTCTGTGATATCACGCTCTCTCTCAATGCTCCCTGGACAGTGCATAGCCTGGTTACAGTTATCAGCGTATGCCTGCACAGAGAGAGAGCCAGCAATGAGTCATAGCGTTGCCTATTCTCTTTTGCTCTCTCTAATGATCTTGAAGTAGACTCGAAGAGAAATTACATTACAGTATAAACGGAAGTGCGAGAAATTAATATAGCAATTAGTTGTTAGTGGACAAAAATGTACATAACATACTGTATATCGAACCATTCATCCACTATTCGTTATGTGATTAGGCACGGCTTATCGGAAAGTGGCATTCCTTTACAGTAAGTTGTCGTTTGTCGTGACTCATGATGGCATGGCAAATATTGTTATGTGTGAAATTTGAGGGCCTCATTATGCATATCATTTATTGACGCAGCTTATCACAGTGTGCAAAAGGTTTTTTTTTTTTGGATACTTGACCCAAAAAAAGCCACGATAAGATCTGAAAAACATCTTTCAATCAGCTTTTGCTCTCGTTTACGAAACCCGCATGCTAAATGCTAGCGCTAGCGCACTTCCAGGTTCTTTAAAGCGCAACTGGAATTTACAGCGGCGCAATAGCTTGAGCTGGGCAAATGAAGAGAACAAAGGAGAACAGAGAATTGATGACCCCAAACAACATAAACGGAAAGTATACAAAGAGCGCAACTGGGGGCGACACACAGAGATGTGGAAAGTTTGTTGAGAATTTGTTGAGTGACAGGCGAAACAGTAAAGGGCTGCATTACAATGGATGTCAGACCACTGTGTCAGCAGCAAAACTTAAATCGCAGCTTGGAACATCCGCTAAACGGCGCTCTCATGCAAGTTTTTTTTGGAGAGAGAGATAAAATAAACATATGCACAAGAAATTACGAAAATTCAATACAATAGCTGGAGCAGTACGAAATATTATAGCTGGCACGCACACACACACACACACACATACAAATACATGAAAACTCTCTCTCTCTTTTGCACGCTCGTAAATGAAAATCTAATCAAACTAAAAGATGTGGCTGGGAGAGGGAAATGGAGGGCGGACATTTTAGAATTTACTTTTCTACTACTCTCTACAACTGCAAGAAGAAGCAGCTTTAAGAAGTACTTTGTGCTTTTATCACGACTATAAATACGATTTGCCTTTCGTATGCAACGTGGCGAGAGTAGAGGAATGAAACGGGAACGTAATGACAAAACAGACAGTTAACGGCACAAAGTACTCGTAGTTGAAAGAGCGGTGCGAAGCGGAAGAGAGAAAGCAAAGGGCATCGCTTCCAACTGCATGAACAACAACAATCATTGACAGCCAGGCAGGGGGCGTACGTCTGTGATACGGGTTCAGAGAATTATTTTGGGAATTAATCAAACACGCACTCGAACACACACACACAAACTCCACTCACACATACATACACACAAAACAAAGATTTGTTCACTGCATTTTTTGTTATTCTCCAATTAGTTTCAATTAGTGCCAGTGAACTACTGCGTCATTGTCTTCCATGGACAGAAAAGAGAGCCTGAGAGTGGCCTGCTCCTATGCTAACTGCCTCTTTTTCGACCGCCACCGGCTAGCCAGCCAGCTCATAATTACACACCTACACACACACATTACACTAGTGTGCCATGCCATGTTTATAATTACCTTTGAACAGATAATCGTACTCGTCTTCTCTTGCACCCATTTTGCTGATGTTTGTTTTAATATAGTTGGCTTCGTTTAATTATTGGCAGCTTCGGTTCCGTTTGATTGGTGTGTGAGTCTTAAGTAAAATCCAATAATCCTTGCGCGCCGCCGATTTCTATATATGCGTTTGTCGTAGCTCACACACTTTTTTACACTTTATTTTTGTAGGTGTATTTGTGAAGAAAAAGAAAATTATATATCAATTTTATGTCAAAATGGCTGGTATTTCGAGGGCTATTTCAGTTGTCACATCTGGCAGCATGTGTGCGGCAACTAGTGCAGTATACAGTGACTAAATATAGATGCTTTTAATGCATTTATTTATGATTTTTTCTTACGCGAAACACACTCACTTAGTCACTCCTAGGGTTGTCAAATATATAACAAATATCAATATATCGATATTTTTTTTAATAAAAATATATTTATATTGTGATTTTTTTTCTAAAAATATCAATATTTTGATATGTTTTTGCGATATTTAAAAGATATTCCCAGTTCGATAACTAACAACAGGATCTAAATAAATGTATAGGGTATATTGTATTTGTGCACAAAAGTGGATACATGTAACGCACAAGAGGAAATGTTGCAGACCGCATAAAGAATATATATTCTGTTGTTAGTAGTATGGATCAGCATCAATAGCCGAGCCGATATAGCCATGTCTGTCTTTCCTTCTGGCAGTCTTTCTTGTCGGCTAGTATTCAGAGACTAAGAGCTAGAGACACAGAATTTCCCAGATTGCTGTGACATTACACACTTTTTATGTGTGAAGCGTCTCATACGTCCCTATTCGTTTAGCCCTCGAAACTGTGTTGTTCTCGACATTAAACGGACACCGCATGTGTGTGTTAGTGCGTTGACTATATGGTTAGTGGTTTGGTTCAAATTACCAAAGCCAACGGAAAAGATCTCCGCAAAAGAATTTTTCTCAGAGTTTTCTAGAAAATTAGGAAAGTTAAATTTATAAAGCTGGGGTGTTTTTGTGAGGTGTGTGTTTTGAACCAAAAACCACTTACTCGATAGAGTTATATATGTAAAGCGAACAATAGTTTAATAAGTCAAATTAAAAGTACAGAAAAGTGGAATAAGGATTAAAGATGTTAAAGACATATGTAAGGTTTCTGTTTTCTTTATGGCAGCTATGTATTTCCGATGCGCCGAATTAAATATTAGCAAAAATATATGAAAAATATTAAGTATATCGATAATTTGGCAGTGATATACGTTATATTAAATTGATATTTTTTCCAAACAAAATATATCACTGATATGATAATTTTTAGATATTTGACAACCCTAGCCTAGTCACTCCCAAAACGCCAGTGTGACCGCGGCCTACGTCGGGTCTGGTCTCTCCTTTTTGGTATAAAATACCAACTCAGTCGAAAAAAACCTTTCTCATTTTCGAAATGTACTGTATATATACCTATAAAGCAAAATAACTTAACCCACCTGACCCCCGTCTGTTTAAACAGGTGAACAACATGAGTTGAAATTGTAAATTCTTCTTACCATCCGTCTACCATATCTTTAAGTTGAAATGAGTGAAAATTAGTTAAGTTTCATTACTCACTGTTGGTCAATTTCAATGATCGGAAGTAATATATCCCGATTTTAATATTCGGTTTGATATTACAGACTTTCTAGGACTCTCAGCAACAAACACATAATTTTATGCAATTGATGAATCTTTTCCCTACCAAATAGGCTAACTGTTATTGGATTGTTTATAAAATAAGGTTATAAAAAAAGGTTAACAATAATTATGTTCGAGTTGTATCTACTATCGATAGATAGAGTTCACAGGTGAACTGACTACCCATTCCTTGCCCAACTGGCTATCGATAATAGCTTCAATAGTGACATAGCAGAAAGCTTTTAGTTTTATAGCATTTCAAATAAAACCACAATTTCGTATAAAACAATGTATAAAAATGTTTTTATTTTAATATAAAATACTTGTTGCATAGAAAAAATAAATTAAGTATATAATGTGCAATTAATACTTGCGCTTAGCGTTAATCTCTAGAATGCATGTGTAACTTTGATCGTAGTGCACTTAAATGCGAGCCCGCTGCAAAGCTATGGCTGGATAAATTAGGAGGATTCCACCTGCTATGTATGTGATCTTTGAGCCCACACACCAAAAGGCTGCAATAAATCAAGAGTTAGGATAAAAACAGAGATAAAGGTACTCTATACTTGCCAATGGAGCCCACGACAGGTCCAAGTGCACGAGCTAAGGCTCCCAGCGAACGGAAAATGCCCAATACTGAACCCTTTTGATCATCGTTGCCGTATTTGGACACCAAGGTGGTCAGGCAGGTAACTGCAAAGGCTGTGGAGATTGCGAAAAGAATCATGCCGGCATAGAGCATGGGAGTGCCCTCGGCTAGGCCCACCAAAACAAAAGCCGGCACAATAAGATAAAGACTAAAAATGGCATAACTCTTGATTTTGGCATCGGGCAGACGTCGCACCACCGATCCTTGTATCAGAGTCATAATAACACCTAAGAAATGGGTGTTTATTAGATAAAGAATGTAAATATGCAGGGATGGGCATCTCACCTGTGGTAAGAAACATCTTGGCCTGATCCATAGACGTGTAACCAAATTTGTGATACATCAGGAATGTGACGGTGAATTCCAAGCCGGAATACAAGAATAAATATAAAAAGTATATCAATCCAATGGTTTGTAGCGATTCCTTATCTTTTTTTGGCACATTTTTAATGGCAGCAAATCTGAGAATTAAATGAAAATATAATGTATTTGGAAATCCATCGAAAATGATAGACTTTATGAAAGTGTTTCCCTGTAACTAGTAACAGGTGTCATGTCTGATAAGACAATCAAATAAACGTGCACAAGCGCCCGGCATGATAGCGGAACGACACGCTTGGGCCGGTAACCAGTCGAGCGGGTTATTAGGATTGCAAAATATCAATTAACTTAGTCACACGACAGGTTTGTAAGACAAAAAAATTACCTAAATATGGATGAGACGTTGAGCAATTGCAGGCCATAGGACAGGGCGGATGAGATCTCCTTAACACGTTTCTCCTTAAAGTTAAAACAGAATTTAAAGCTGGATCTTTAGCACCAAAAATAATCTTCTCTCACCTTTGGCAGCGTTTCGCGCAGGCAGCAGGTGAGCACCAGAAGATCGCCCAGTGCCAGAGCCAGGGCCAGCAGGGAGGGAAGTACAAACCAAGCGCCACCACTTGCAGATTTATTTGAGAATATGGCAAACATGGCACCTATCATGGGTCCCACAATAAAACCCAATGAGAAGGCCACACCGACCAGAGCCATGCCGCGGCCCCGGGTCTTTACGCTGGACACATCCGTGATGACGGACATGCAAAGCGAAATGTTGCCCTTGCTTATGCCACCAACGAAGCGAGCCAGGACAAACAGAGCAAAGTTGCCGGAGCAGGCCCACAGTAAATACGAGAGCGCAATGCCAGTCTAAGTTTTGGGAATGGATAAACGAATTGAATCAATATGCTGACCCAGTTTAGAGGAGCGTTCACTTACCGCACACACGAGTAGAACGGGTTTGCGTCCATAGTAATCCGAGAGGCCACCCACAATCGGACTGGCCAGAAATTGCAAGAAACTGAACATGGAGCCCAGGAATCCGCCAAAAAGCACCGATATATAGCGCTCGGGTGCTCCCAGCAGCTGCTGGAACCAACGCACTCGCTCCGTCAGCACATTGTACAAACCGGAACTATCGTTGACACGATAATACTCCAACAGCGAGGGAAGCAGCGGCAGAATAATGGTAAATGCCAGCAAATCAAACAGCAGCGAGACGAATATAATGTAAATCATGGGATCACTCTTTTCCTTTGGTTCGCCACTCTTCTTGTCTTGTTGCTTGCCATCATTATTGTTGTTGCTGATCTGCTGAGAGTTTGTATCCGGCTCTCCTTTTGTGGTTTCTGTGGTTTGGAGGCGATTCCGTAGGGTGGACATGTTTGCGGCCGAGATTGCGTGCGTGTACAAAACTTTATGCTTGCTATTACTTCAACATAACTGTAGTAGCTTGGCGTAACTGCCCAACGGCTTGGCCCCAACAAAACAGAGAGACGCGAAATGCTAACCAAAAGCAACCCGCCACCAGAAGTGAAAGTTTAAGCGCAACAGCTGATTGGAGGCGGTCTACCACATGATGCATCCATGAAGCAATTATACAAGGTGGTCCCCCGAGGTTGGCGTTCGGGTGTGTTCGACTCTATTAGTCTCGCTCCTAGCAGAAAAATTCGACTAAAAATCATAATAACGACTACTTTCAAGTAGAAGCTTATTGAAAAATCAAATTTTAAGAAATGACTTAAACTCATTTTCTTGTCATGAGCAAATTTAAACTCCATGCCATCATAGCGTTAATCATCATACGATATTTTCGTTTCACTCGCACTAAATACGCAGAACCCGTTCACTCGCACTTGCAAACAGCATAGCTATTAGATCATTTTTGCCGACGAGACCACCGTTGCATGCTCAGCTGCAGTCGCAGTGCCACCCATGAAGAAACTATATAGAAACACCCCGAACGCCACCCGGAGGGGACCACCTTGTATAGTTGCATCATGGTATGCCACAGTGCACAGTGCTGTAAAGTGAGGCTTGAGCACCTGTGGCTAGTGGCATTTACCAACACTAAGGTAGAAAGAAAACAAATTATTTATTTTTTTAACAAAATCGAAAATAAAATTGGAAGTAAGAGTCTAAAACCATGTCAAAGGTGACCGTGCAGGACATAGAAGCCGTCGATGATTACTGGGGACCCACATTTCGCTCGATACTAGAAGGTAAGTTGAAAAAACGGAAAACCTTTTTGTTTACGCCCTCTTGTAATGAAAATTTTTCTTTAGGCAACAATACAAAATTGATTAGCGAACAATTGGATCAGCGCATACGCAGCCATGACAAGGAAATCGAACGAATATGCAATCTATATTATCAAGGGTTCATCGATTCCATACAGGAACTGCTGCAGGTGCGAACGCAGGCCAAGCAGCTGCACGATGAAGTTCACTCGCTAGACACATCGCTGCGGCAGATCAGTGCCTCACTCATCCAACAAGGCAATGAGCTGGTGCGGGCCCGCCAAATCGAATCGAATCTGGCCAGTGCTATCGAGGCACTAAAATCCTGTCTGCCCGCGCTCGAGTGTTACATGAAGTTCACTCAACAAGCCAAGAACAAGCAATATTATCAGGCGCTGCGCACGCTGGAGACGCTGGAAACGGAGCATTTGTCGCACTTGAAGCGCCACAACTATCGCTTTGCCACACAGATGCAGATACAGATACCCATCATCAAGGAGAACATACGCAAGTCCTCGGCGTT